AGGCTAGGAGGGTTATCTACCATCAAAATTGTTGAGTTCGATTCCATTCAGCTCGATGACACATCAATCACACTACTTTCTGGTTGCAGTCGAGGTTTTCAAGTCGAGAAGAGGACCTGGGTTAGCCGTGCCTGAGTGACAAGCAACCATTTTCAAGCAGCATAGCTTAAGTCAAGAAAAGCTATCTGTCAATGAAGATTTTTGAGTTCGATTCCGATCCAAGGTCTTTAAACCGATAAGAAGACCGAAGGGCAACGGGAAGCCACGTGCTGATTCAAATTCCGAACTACGGCTTCAATTTCATATTATTTCAAGATGAACTCGACTTCACGATGGAGGAGTCATCCGTAACTCAATTCGACAGGGAGTTATTAAAACATCAGAGTCAATTTTCAACTCCACTAAACGAAAAGTGTGTCTTTTAATCTTTGCCCTATCCCCGTTACACGACTATGGGCAAAGATGGGCAGCTGTCAACACACATTTTCGTCCTACTATGATTCAAACTCCTAAAAATAGGATAGAATTTTGCTAGGATTCAAACTCCTAAAAATAGGATAGAGTTCTACTATTATTTAAACTCCTAAAGATAGGATCCACAAGCATTATAAATAGTCATTGTAACTCACTATTGTAACACATTCGGAGGAGGATATACGAAATACCAAGTAAAAAATTACAAGCAACTCGTAACCATTTTTCGAAGCATTTATATTTTGAAAGGTAAAGTTCATACATGCGCATGTTATTTTTCCTTACCCTTGCTGTGTTTTGATTTCGAAAGAAAACTGAGAGAAGTGTTTTTGGCCGATGAACGGAGGCGTTTTCGAGATCTATTTTTGTAGATCTAGTCCCCGAGGCTTGTGTTTTTGAAAAACTATTCGGATTTTTATAAACGGGTCGTGTGGATCCGCGTGTTTTGTCATTTTTTTCTTCGATTGGCTTTTAATTTTGACCCCTAATTCATTTTTTATTTTAATTTAACCCTTATTATTTATATGTATATATTTAATTATATTTTATTTATTTATTTATTTATTATAATTGTTTTTATTTTTCTTTGCGTTATATTATATTATTTTCTTATTATATATATGTATATTATATTATTATTATTTTTATCTATGTTTACTTATTTACTATGTTTTTTTACTATATTTTCCTAACGTTATATATATATATATATATATATTCTTATTTTATTTTATTTTATATTTCTATGATTACTATTTTTTTAGTTAATATTATATGTATATTTATTTTTCATTTATTTATTATTATTATTACTATTTATTATTTTATTATATTATACATATATTTTTATATTTTATATATATATTTTTATTATTTTATTTATACTATTTATTTATTTTCATTATATTTTTAGTTTCTTTGCTCTTATTATTTTTTTTCTTTTAAAAAAAACACTTTACCTTTTTTATTCTTTTTGTATATATATTTTATCTTCATTTATTTTATTTTATTCAATTTCATTTTTTTTTCATCCAATTATTTTATGTTTATTATTATTGGTTTCATTTATTTCCTTGGTTTACTCTTTAGTTTTGTTACTTTCTTTTATTATTATTATTTTCTTTTAAAATCTTATTTTTAAGGGTATTTCCGTAAACTCATTAAGGGTAAGTAATTCAGATCAAATTTTACTTTTTAATTTAACTTGCAATTTTCTTAATCAAAGACAACTGGAAATTACGTAGTACCGAAAGGACGGTTCAAGGGTGCTAATCCTTCATTGACCGTAACCGACTCCCGAACCCGACACATCTTTGGAAAGACGTAGATCAGGTAAGAAATAGGGTATCCGATCAACTCATTTGTTTTAAATAAATGATCGATGGCGACTCCAATCCACATTTTTCAAGTCGAAGCCCAATTTTGAGGCACAACCGAAAGACGGTGGCGACAATTGCGAATGCACATTTTAAATAATACCAATGAAACATTTTGGAATTAGTTAATTACATAAGCCCTTAAAACTAGATATGAGAAAAAAGACAACACAATGAAATGAATAGTTCTTGAGATCCTCACACTTTTATAAATAAATAAAAACTAATCTATTTTTTTTACTTTTAATAAGGCCTTTAAACCTAAGAAAAAAATAAATGTTATTTTTTCAACAAAAATAATAGATAATCGTTGTTTTAGCATTGACATGATAGTTTATGAAGTTGTTCGTAACGATACTTTTTTTTAAAATTATTTATATTTATTTAAGCCTAATGATTGGACCTGTGGGTTAAAAATAAACACCAAAGCACGAACTTGACTTGATTAGGTGGGCTAGCCCATAAATAGGTGTATTTAGCATGCACGTGATTATGATGGCCTAGCCCATAAGCAGGTATATTCTGGAAAGATGTTGCCTACTGAGGGCATTGCTCGTTTTTAGCATGAATATGACCGGCGGGTAGGGTTTATTAATCAAGCTCTTTCCTTTTGTATGAGAGTCAAATTATGAAGTGAAAACAAGTGCAGTTTATGATTGTTAACACTGAAGGATGGTATTGAGTTGTTCATTTATTTACAAGCACAACACAGGAAGTTGCCTCCCATACTCATCTCTAAGCGAAAAGGGCTGTTAGTAAGCCATGTGAATTCAGTCCACATATGTGGCTGAGCTGATATTGGTATTTGATTTATGTTTTATTCATGTAAGATATTATAGATATTCCCATTGTTTAGATTTTTTTATTCGAAAGAATAAAGGAGGAGTATTTCAAAACATACATACGAGAATAGTTGATAAGCATAAAATCCCACCCCAAATATTCTCACTTGTTTGTTGCATCAAAGAATGAATCTGACACCATCCAACCAAAACTCAGCCAAACTTTTTTTTTTTTGAAAGTAATTGAACTTTAACATCAGTCTAGGTTACTTGACCATTAATATTTTACCTAAATTCAACCCAACTTGATTTAATTATAAAATACTAATAATTTAGTTCAAATTAGAGTTTAAAATGAAATATCCCAAACATAAAATAATCTAAAATATGAAAAATACAGATTGAAATTGATCCAATTCAAACTTGTAATTATCCAAGTAACATGTGTACGTATTGCATGCCAAAACAAAAGTGATAGAAAGTACATGAATGCTATCCTAATTTCTGTCTCGGCCTTGGGGAGTCCAAAAAAGTTTTCCAATTGCAAATTACACGAGGAATCCAATGAGGCCTTTCGGCTATGAAAGAGAATGAAGAATCTATCTTTTCTCCATAAAAGATTTATGTCACCATTTTTTATACTTTCGTAGTAGACGAAAGACAACTTGTTAAAAAATTCCAAGTCTTTCAAATCTTGTATATACAAATTAAATAAAGAATAAACATTTTTAGTTTGATAAAGGGCAGCTTCGCATGGTTTTTGAAAAGTCATTTTTAAATGTACGGTAGAAAATAATTTTTTAAAACAATGTTGTTTAGAAGTATAGTTTAAAATTTATCTGTCTTAGATTGTTGTTAAAAAATGATTTTGAAAAGATAAAATGTCCATTATAGATATTATGTTTTAAATTAAAATATAAAATTTAAATTATATTTACACTTATTGATACTATAATATATAAAATATATCATTTAAATTGTAATAAAAATATTAAAAAAATATTTTAAGATAACTCATTAATTATAATAAAAATGTATATTATAATAACTAACTATTAATATTTTAATATATAAACCATGATTTTTTTTATTTTTAAATAATTAAAATAAATTATTTTTTAAGGATGTTAATATTTAATTATTAAAATAAAATGATAATTGAGTGGAGTCCATATATTAATAAGGGTAAAATTATAATTCTCCCAAATGTAAAGTTAAAAATGAAAATATTATAATTTCTAGCTTTTGTGGCTGGTTTGAAACAATAATAATTTCTTTTTATTTTTTATCCGTTTGACATAGATTTTGCGATTTAAACGAATTTTTTTAACTAAAAATACATTTAAAAAGTCACACCAAATGGGACAAGAACAAAACTCTATTATGTTTTAACATATTCAAAATAAAAAAAAACTATTTAATACATAAACTATGTGAACTAAAATTTATATAATATTATTTACTTAATAGTTTAAGATTTATGATTTAATATTTTAAACTATAAAGTTTATGTAAAAATGAGTATGTTTTATAAATTCTTTTTCACGGATCAGATGTATTAAATAATGAATTAAAAATTAAATCTCCAATGAAGTACATATAAAAAATTAAAATAATATTTATCCATTTTAAAACTTTAAATTCTTATATAAATAATTTTTAATATATTTACCATTTAACCATAAATAACATACCCACTAAATTTATAAGTTTTAATTAATAAAATTATTTCATTCAAAATGACGTATTAAAAAATTAACCAATAAATACACTCTTATATATATATATATATTATTTATATAATTTTTTTACAATTAAATCTGTCAAATATATCTATCATTTTTGAAGATTAATTTTATTATTTTTCTTATTTTATATAACTTGAGATTAAATTTATGTATTAAAATTATGTGTTTAATAAATATATAACAGAAATTATGCGAAATAAAGAAGAAATAACTTGATACATTTTCATATATGAGAAGTATCACGTGCGTCAGCCTATTATACGGCGCTACAGGAAATATTATTATTATTTTTTTAATATTTATGGCAAAAAATTTATCTAAAACATTATTATTTCTACCAGAAATATTATTATTGAACGCTTTATCGGGTTTGGTAAAGCGCTACCTAAAATATTATTTTTTTACCGAAAATATTAATATTTAGCATTTTATCGAAAATATTAAAAATTATTAATATTTTACGTAAAAAAACAATATTTTAGGTAAATTTTTACTAGAAACATTAAAAAAATACTAATATTTTTTATAATATATTTCTTTAACTTTATATTAATATTGTGGTACGGCATAACTTCCCTCGTATCACAAGTAATCTAATCAATATGCAAACACAATAAACATTAGTAAATGACAGTTTCTTTCATTAAATTAAACATATAATAGAAAAGAAAAGTATTAAAGCTGCGGGCTACAACTTCTTTCCAAGCCACATCAGCCCCCGTTACATTCAACTTTTTTTAACTCTCTGTCTCACCCTTTCACCCAAGGAAAGAAGAAGTGAAAAGCCCATTACAGGAAGAGGTAACAACCCACTTTCACTCACCGTCAAAAGTCAAAACAATCTTAAACACGCACTTTCCCTACCAAGTATTTAAACCCCAACACTTAAAAAAATACATGTTTTAGACCCTGAAATTTTTACCCGTGAAAGTTTGACCAAACTGCCAATTAGAAGGGACAATGTTCCACGACGTAGAAGTTCTACGATCACTGCCGGTGACCCTAAATGAAAGAGATTGACCGACCAAAACGGCGTTAGATTGCCAGTTCTGACCCCAGTTTCGGCTCAAGCTCATCCACCCTGTTTTGGAACCTTTAACGCTTGCCCTCACGATGTCACCGGAACCAGCCACGTTGGTGATTAGAACCAAGTTGAAGTAACGGAAACCGTTGATCGTGAACCTTATTCCACCCTTCTTCCGGCATGGCACCCTGACGAAGAAGAAAGAAAATTAGTTTAGATGGATTCTTGTTCTGTTTGTTTCGCGGGAAAAGTGAGATTAGAGACTTGAAACAGGGGAAGGTCTTTACCTGCGATAAGAGACGGGGACAATGCCGGCACGGTACTCGGCAATCTTAAGGAACATGGGCATAGCGAGATCGAAGTGAGGACGAGGGGGGTTACACCATCCGCCATTATCGCTGGGCAGAGCATAATTTGGAGGGCAAAAGTTGGTTGCGGTTATGAAAATGGAAGGGCTGCCGGAATGGCACCATTGTGGTTCACTAGCGCATTTGATCTCAAAACAGGCACCGCAGCTGAACCCATTGTTGAAAAGAGCAGTGCTCAAAGCTGCTGTGTTCACTCCATAGCCTTGGCTGTAAAGGTTTCCATAGCCACAAGCTCCACCTAAAACTCACCAAAATAGAATTATTTATTTGCAAAAAAAAAAAAAACAGGGTTTAAGAAATTAAATGGGGGATAATTTGTGAAGTACCCATTGTCCCAGAAGCATCACTGCCACCGTAGAAAGTGGCATGGGCGCTTTGCCAAGCACCGCCGGAGTAAACACCGGGGATTCTGGCTTCAACAGCTTGGAGAATGAGGAGCAAAGGAATCAGGCCAGTAATACCCCAGAATGACATATTTGACTAAAGAAGCAGAGTGAAAAAGATAAAGGATGAATTTAGGTATGAAAGGGGGTGATGAAGAGAAGGCGAGTGTGTGAAGTGGTATTTATGGTGTGGGGGAGAGAGAAAAAGGGAGGGAACATATAACATAACATTGTCAATAAAGTGGGAAATTTTGCGCATCCCAGATTGTGATTATCTCCTTAATTTCTGCACTTCTGTTCTCTTGATAATTACAGCAGTCAGATTTCCTCCCCCTTTTTTTTATTTCATATTGGCGGTAATCCCATTCAAGTTCAGCCATATTAATATGTTTATTTTACAATAGTATAATTTAGAAACAAATTTCACATTTTATTTTGTTTTTCATCCCAATAATTGTTCAACCATGATTCAATATCACAATTTATTTTGTTTTTGCAAATCTCAACAGCAATGATTGTTTAAATTTTTATTTCAAACTCCTACGGCGGTAAACAAAATCTAACGAAATAATGAAGTGATTAAATCCAAAGTTTTCCCTTTCTTTCTTAATGACACGATTAACCAAATTGGGATATGGTGGAATAATGGGCATAAAAGAAGTTTGGTGGTTACCTGCCCGGTTGATATCAAATTGGCTTGCTTCAGTTACAAGTTGTGCCACTTCTTTCTTTGCCTACCTGCCCCCAACAATATCTTCCTTTCCTTTTTCTTTTATTCCATTCCCTCTCTTTTTAAAGCTTCATCAACATACACATTTGCTTCACTTATTCGCTTATCACTACTTTTTAATTCAATTCTATAAATGTTGTAACAATCAAAATATTAATTTACTTAATTTTTAAAATCAATCATAAAATTATATGATTTTCTATTGAAAAAATAAATAAACAATTTATTCCAATGATGGTGCATTGGTGCCCATCTTCCGTCATCTAATGCAACATTTATTTGGAACAAAAAATATATTGATTTTATGAAGAAATGCATTTAATTCATTTATGTGATTGGAAGATTTCCCCTCCATTAAATTGTTCATTAGCTTTAATCAACGGTATAAACCCGCGTATGCATCTTTATAATTTTATAAATATATTAATTGATTATACGATAAACTATATCATATATCATTAAATTTAAATTTAAATTCTAGTGTCTAACAACTTTATTAATTGATTATATATTTTGAACTATACTTAAAATCAACTTCATTTACTTTATGTTATAATTTTATAAATATATTAATTTGATAAATATTATTTATATTATAATAATAAAATATTACTTATATAATAATTTTATAATATTTATAAATATGTTATTTTTCTATATTAATTTTATATAATTATATTATAAAATTACAATTATAAATAATAAAATAATATTTATGTAATTTAGTTCCAAAGAAGGCGGTGGATCGTGTCTTTATCCTTTGGTGTCCTCCCCGAGAGATGATCTTAAATTTCATGTGGATGGTGCAATGAAATTAGATGGTAGTTCGGGAGGCATTTTGAACCCATCGAAATCTCCTCCATGTTTCTTTGATTTGGTTAGTAACTTCGCTGCTCAAGTTCTTAGAAGTTGGGAAGCGAATTAAACTCCGAATAAAATTTGGAATATCATCCGTAAATTCCAAGGCATACCCCGGATCAAATTGTTTATGTGGCTTGTTTGTAAACGTAAGATTATGACGAATGATGAGCGTGTTCGTCGCCATGTTACGGATGATCCGAGCTGCTCAATATGTGAGGCTGCTTGTGAAGATATTGACCATGTTTTAAAGTGGTGCTCAACAGCTTTTCAAATATGGAGCGAGTTGGTTGTTCCTAACAAAATACATGAAATTTTGTCCATGGATACGGTGTCGTAGATAGCTATGAATCTTCAAGACGGTTTAAAGTTTGCTAAGAATCCGAATAATTGGTCGTTGCTCTTCTCGGTAGTTATTTGGAATATATGGCGAGCTCAGAATGCAAAAGTTTTTGAAACTCCTTTGGATGGAGACGGAGCGATAATTGAACGGAGTAGTAGGCTTATTCAAGTCACTCTTCAACCTCAAGTTGGGGTGTCTCCTTCTGCGAAAAATAACGCTATTATATGTCGTGGTCCGGATAGTTGGACGGTTCCTCCGGCTCCGTGGATCAAAATCAACGCAGATGCTGCTTGTAGCGGGACGGATAATTATGCTCGGTGTGGGGGAGTTGCTCAAGACAGTTTAGGAAATTGGATTTTCGGGTTCTTAAAATTTATTGATGTCTGCTAGGTGTTAGATGCGGAGCTTTCGGTGCCTATGTCGGTCTGAATCTCGCTTGCGATTCATGTTTCAGGCAAGTTATTATTGAACTTGATAGTATGGAAGCCTTAAATATTTTTCGATTAGATTATAAAGGTACTAACTCACTTGGATGGCATCTTAATGAATTAAGAAGGCGAAATTGGAGTGTTCGTATTAACCATGTGCTTTGCAATGACAATAAAGTTACGGATGCCTTGGCCAAGGGCGCTTCTTTTGACAACCTAGATCACATTGTTTTTGTTTCTCCCCGACGTCGATAATGAATTTGTTACATAAAGATCTTATGGTGTCTAGCTAAGTTGTTAGCTTGTTTTTCGCCTTTGTTTTTCATGTTTCTTCAATGTATTGGATTAACATATATACTCTTTTCCTCCATATAAGTTAGGGGGATTTTTAATGAGACATATATTAATCTTTCTCTTGTATGATTTCATCGTTAATGAAATTATACCTTTTACCGAAAAAATGTAATATGTAGTTTAGATAATATATTTGTACTCTTAAATTTAGGGATTTTTAATGTTTTTCATGGTTTTCTATTATATGATTTCCTCGTTTTTCGCCATTGTTTTTCATGTTTCTTCAATGTATTGGATTAACATATATACTCTTTTCCTCCATATAGGTTAGGGATATTTTTAATGAGATACATGTTAATCTTTCTCTTGTATGATTTCCTCGTTAATGAAATTATACCTTTTACCAAAAAAAATTATATGTAGTTTAGATATTATATTTGTATTCTTAAATTTAAAAAAATATTTTGAATGGAGAAAATTAATATTTTGAGTATTAAAATGGAAAAAGGTAAACTTTAATACAGAGAAAATGTCGAGGAAAAAAGGTAACTAGGCACAGAAAATAAAGAAGAAAACGTGAGAAATGGTCAAATAAAAACAGCTAATGCATGCATGTGTTGAAAATTTAGTTTTCAGACGTTAATTTTGGAGATTATTTTCCAAAGAGAGAAATTAAAGAATAAAGATTCCCCAAAAACAGCAAAATTCAAAGGAGATCAAAATTTGGGGTAAAGGGACCGTTAACCGCATTCATCGGGCCACGTATTACGCCGTGCATTAGCCGTACGTTATAGTGGACTCTAGTCATAGCGTTTTTTTTAATAAAAAGTACGTGACACTGTTCAAGAGGTTTTTTCTCCTCACACTCATCGGATCGATTCGAATCATACACTTAATTTTAATGAGTGAATCTTTTAATATAAATTTTTTATATACATAAAAATTCAAACCTAAAATCTTACTCAAATATAATTACTTAACACTTAAACTAATTTCTACCAATGAGGTTTTTACACTTTCATCACACTCGATACAGGTGTGTAAACTTTGAAGTCAAAAGTTTTTCGTTTTCGTTTTTTGTAAAATTAAAAAAATGTCAAATGTCAAGGATTTAAAACTTTTTTTCCTATCAAATCCACTTCCAAAAGTTCTCTGGTGAGTTTATACATACCATCAAACCTAGACGTGATAGCCATCTGTCCAGTTTAGAATACAAAGTGTATTTTAAATGTAGAATATAATTTTGAAATTTTCAGTTTAATAATTAAATAAGAATGCATTAGTTTCTTGACTCTGTAAAACTATACCGATGAATAAAAAAATCAAAATGGGTCATAATTAAATTTATTTAAAACATTTTTATTAAATAAATAAAACATTCTAATAAGAAAATGAAAATAGAAAACAAAAATAAAAATAAAAGGGAAAAAAGCAGGTAGGGCAGGTAAAAAGCATGTAATTTGATGAAAATGTAAAGAGGAGGAACACGTCACAAATAAGTCATAGCTTTGTTGTTGAACCACATCTCCCCCAAATCGTAGGAAGAGATTTAGAGGTTGAATGAAAGCGTGATCAAATTAACTTCTTCCAACTTAATTTTGCTTTCGCATGTGATCACCCCACCAAACCCCTCATTATATATTAACCATTGTTGGTCGGCCACGATTCAATTTGGATTTTCTTTTAAAATATATATGTTCATTTCAGACTTTACTTTTATTTTCTATTAAATTAAAGTTATTAAAAAACTTTTTTTTATAACAATTCAATTTGAATTACATTTATCGTGCTTGAAAGGTAGACCAGCTTATAAATAAGTACATCTACTACTACCTAATATGGTTATATAGAGAGACAATTAAGATTCATTTTACAATATCAACTTTTTAGTGTCTTTAGGTTAGTTAGATTAATTAAGTTTAATGGCTAATATAAAAATATTTAAATTCGGAATAATTGTTTTTCTATTAAAATCTTTTCATTTTTTAACATTAAAGTTAATCATCAATTTTACTTATCTAACAATCTAAAAAGTATATAAAATTTAAAAAATTTATGTTGCTTCAACTGATTCTCTCTCTACCAACCTCTACTTCAAACCATCCAATTAATTTTCTCATTTTGATAGGTATTCCTAGTCACTCTAAATTCTAAATTTAATCATAATCTTAGCTAGAGAGGAGGGGAAGGGGACTATAGGAGAAATAAGAGAGTGCTCCTACCTTAAAGATTATGAAGGAACAAAGATTAATATCTTAATCAACTCAACGGTCAAATATGATATATTTTTTAATAATTTAGGGTAAGTACAACATACAATACAATATATGTTCAAATATAACTCTCAATATTTCAACATTGAACCTCACACCCCTAACACTTATGGTGCTCAAACTCGGGTCCTAAATAACAACAATTCCTTTACCACGAAGGTCACTTGGCTCGTGCTCAAATATGATATTCTTAAATTGTGATAAATTTAGTTGTCAACATGATGTTATGTTCTATTATTTATACTAATGTTGATGGTGTTTATTTTTAACCTTCGATAATGATGTTTATATATAGAATAGTTTGGTTAAAATTTTAAACTATTTTCTTATATAATTTAAAAAAAAACTAGCAATACAACTCAAGCAATACACATTTGAATGATTATTAATTGAACTAAATATTAAAACATAAATTTAAATAATATATAAAAATAGTATATACACGACAAGACATAAATTAAAACAAAATTAAAATTAAAATATGATAATACTTGCCCATAATAAGATTTAAAAGTATGATTTTGAATATTCCTAAAAAAGTAAGGTTACCATCCAGCCAAATTCTCATTGGCATAAATTACCTTCTACATAGATAACGATGATTGATAGAGACGAATATTGTAGTGGACCGGTTATAGAATCTTTTGGTCGCGGGTATCAATTGCGCTAAGAAATCACATTAGATATTACGAACACTCCCTCAGTCCTCCATATTTTGAACTTGTTTAATTCTTGTAAATGGTTCAAACTTTTTCTCAATCAAAATTTTGCGACTTAATAATTGTTATTTGGATGAAAATTATGTGAATTGAAGTAAATTATAAGATAAGTATAGATTATTGGCTTAGTTTACGAAGTAACGTATTTACGTATATTTTAAGTTAAGATGAGATCAAGGCAAAGGCTTGGTATAATTACTTCTCTCTTTTTATTTAATATGTGTCCTACGCCTCAAGTACTTGTATGATTTAAGACATAAGCCTCAAAAAAATCCTAGATTTGTCTCATTGGTGTGTTGCTCGTCTATTTTATTTTTGGTATTTGTTGATCATCGACGACACCAATTTTATTGTTAGTTGTAGACCGTTGGTATTTTTTATTGTCTTTTTCTTTTCTCTATATCATATCTATAATTTCTTTTGTTTTTTGATTTTCAATAAATATGCCTTTATGACACGTTTCCATTTACTTTAATGACATATTTTCGTATGTTTTTGGCATATTTTTCAATTATTTGATATTTTTTCATTTATTTTTAAGGGTTTATTTGACACCACCACGACTGATCAGGGTGACGCTTATATGATATCTTGTTGATCTTCCCTGATTTAGACCCTCAGATTGGATGTGAATACTCGATTTGCGTTTGTGGATAACTTTTCACATCTCTTGAGTCTGATTTACTGTTTGTGTGTGGTCTTTCAATAGTTTGATCCCCTTTTTTCATATATGTTTGTATCTATATTTGTTCAAATTTCTTGGTTAGATTTTTAATCTTTCCTTGTTTAGTCTTTATGTGATCTTAAGTTGCTAGTTTTGTTTCAATGAAGATTTTTTTTAATTATGCATAATTAATTTACGATTGCATTTGTAAATCTTTATTGTAATTTGGGACTATTTTGAATAAGATGGTTGTTTATATATATATATATATATATATATATATATATATATATATATATATATATATATATATATATATATATATAAGAATTTGTATGATTTAATGGGTACTTTTCAGAATTAAATTAGAGTTATTATTTATTAAAGAGTTAAATTATATTTAAGTAATTGAAACAAGTAGATACCCAAAAAGGAATATTTAAAAGAAAAAAGAATATGCGAAGTGATAATGGGTGCAAAAGGCAATTCAGTTGGTGCAGAGAAGTTGACGGTTAAAGATAAAGGACTTGTCCTAAATTTTCTTTACATGTATGAAATATCATTTAAGGGTTTAAGGAAAACTTTGTTAAAGGCCTACCATTTTTCTTTTGAGGAAGAACAGCCATAGATTTAACCAATCATTTCGAATCATGTATATAAAAGAATGGACTATATCTTTCAAAAGGGTCAATGGCCCTAAATAAATATCTTTCATCTTCTGTGAAATATATTTTGAATTAGAGTTTAATTATTTTTTCCTGAAAATATATTTTAAGAAATTATATGAAATAATATTAATAAATATGATCAATTGAAGAGAGTAATGAGTGTTTGTATGACTTATTACACATGCCAAAGAGAGGAGAGTGATTATATAATTAAAAAAATGTTAGTGCCAAATTCCTTGTGCATAAACATAATGCATGATTTGTGGAAGAACAATGGGTGGTTCTTTTAGCAGACCAGTTGGTTGGATGAAGGGACCATTGCCCAAACTGTGTCTCTTCTTTACTAGAACAAAACATGTTCCAGTGCGTTTTCCCGAGCTAAAAATGGTTCCTAGTTTCTTCAGCAAGCAAAATTGGAATCATATCTTCAACTTTCTTCTTTGCTCTTTTCCACGCAATATAATTCAACACACATTCTTTCTTTTCTTTCTCTATCTTTGCCTTCCACTTTAACTTTTCGAATGTTTGTTAATCTCTCTTAGGTTGAGTCGCAATCGATGTTTAAAATCTTAAGTTCAAATTATATAAACGAGAAAAATAAGGGTTGAAAAACCTACTTTTAAAATAAGATTTGATTGCGTTAAAATGTGCAAAGCAGTGTATTATTCCTTTTGTGCATTTATATACAGTAAGGACTTCCTAAATAACTATCATATAACAAACTAACAAAATTATTGACAGCAAAACTAACAATAAATATCTAACACTCTCCCTCAAGTTAAGATTTGAACATGTTTTTAAATCCTAACTTGGATTTCAAATAATTGTGTTGTTGTATACCCAAACTCTTTGTGAGCAAGCCCGCAAGTTGATCACTCGATGATACGACAACATCATCAAGCAATGGACCGAACCATCTGAAATTTGTTTTTGACCCTTTTTTCAAATTTTGTTGAAGTCAGTTTGTTATTTTGCTTTAAAGGGGTCAACGCAGGTTCAGTTCCTCCAAACCGGTTTCTTCTATAAGCTCTACTGCATATTTTGCAACTTTTATTCAACAAATCCTTCAATTGATCGAGGAAATATTCGTCACTCCCTGTCATTAGCAAATCATCAACATATATCAATATAACTACTAGTTTATGTAAAGATCCCCAGCTGTCCTGATTAACTAACTAGTTCATCACTCCCCGTTAAAATGTGCAAAGTAATTTTGTGCTCCTCATGCACATTTAATTTACAAGGACTTCCTAATTAACTTTCATATAACAAACTAACATAATTATTAACAACAAAATTAACTCTGAATATTTACAATAATATTTAACACATTGATTATATTTTTATTTTAATTAAAATCGTTGTGATTATCAAATACGAGAAAATTTTCGACCAAAAATGTTTAAATAAATAGTTTTTATGTTAACCCAGAGAAAATCTAAGTCACTTTCAACTTGGAACTGATTCCTATCAAGTTGAGAAGAATTTAAGGTAAAACTCTCTTAATATATAAAAGCGTTTTGCATGTTTGAACTTGTATTTTATCATTCTTTTGTAAAAACTTGAACCAATAAAGTGTTTTAATGAATCTGAAGTTAATTTAATTGATTTATATAAACACTTTAAAATTAAATTTAGAATTAGAATCTAAAGAGGGGTCATTGATAAAAAAAAAACATATTCTTCCTAGATAACTCGGGTTCAAACGTGTATGAATTTATTTAAAAAATATAAAAATAAATAAATTTATAGTATAGGTCCCAACAATTTTTGATCTTTTAGACTCCTCCCATTTGATCTTCGGCAGTCTCACTTAATAATTGAAGCTTAAAGTTATCAACTAACCTAACCGCCATCAAAAGAGAAAATGGCCAGAAGATTCATGTTATCGTAGTTGTTCATAAGCCACGTTAACCATTTTTAAAAGGAAAAACAATGCTTGGGCTGTATTAAACAACACAAAATCCAAAAAGAAGTGAAAATCACCTACTCGTTAAATCTAACTTGAATAAAGGCATAATTTTGCTTCTTATTTTTTTATGTCATATTAATTTAGCCTATCGTTTACGGCTAATTAATGAAGTTTGATCCATTGAGACAAATTATTTGGCAAAACGCCCATCATTTTTAGAAAGAGTGAAGTTGATTCTAAGCAAGAACTTACATTATTTGTACGCATATAGTATTAATATATATATTGTCAATGATACAGCATAACAAGGCATTATCACCACAATTATTTGATTTATTGTTTTGTATCATCATTCTAATAGCAACAATGATCGGGATTGTCCCGTTATCAACAAGTTCATTATGCGTCACGCATAGCAAATAGGGTCACTCACTCACTTGTCGAATGAGCATTTAACTATAATCAGTCTTTAAAGTTTGATTTTAATATTTCCACTTACATTACAAACAATTTATTGAATTAGGGCTGTAAATGAGACGAGAGACAGATCACGAGCTACTCAAGATTGACTCGGTCAAAGCTCGATCAACACTCGAATCGAATGAACTCGACTCGAATTCTTAACGAGCTACTTAATACTCGACTCGAAAAGCTCGCGAGCTAATCGAAAAAAATATTATATATTAATTTTAGATTTTTTAAAATTACATTATTAAAAATATATTAAAAATACGTTATTGATAATTATAAAATTTTAATATAAGATTTTTGTAGGTTCAAATTCGAGTTCGAGTTCGAGCTTGAATCGAGCTCGAGTCTCGAGCTTCGATCGAGCTCCTGAATTTTTTTTGAGTTCAAGCCTTTTCGAGTTCGAGTCGAGTTTCAATATTATATTTCGAGTTCGAGCTGAGCTTAATAATTTTTAGCTCTCGAGTTTTTGAGTCGAGTCGAGTCTAGTTTTAAACTTTTCGAGTTCGAGTCGAGCTCAGCAATACTCGAACTCGACTCGGCTCGTTTACAACACTATATTGAATGATGTCATTTACGGTTAATATATAGAATTCATATTTCTAAAAAAAACAAATTGCTACTTAAAGATGATAAAAAAATTACTGTTTTTAGTTTTCGACTGCAAGATGAGATGTGGATAACTTTCCTAGATACTTCCAATTGGATTTAATTAAATAAAAGAAATTTGGCAATGTAAATCTGTATTTTAAAGTCAACCCATAAAATTTAATTGTGATAACACTTGTGAAAATCAATACGAAAGTTGCTACCTTTTTGTATTGAAGAGCCCATGATCCAATCCCACCTTCGGATTTGGATCACAGTATGATGAGTTACTTTCCTTACCAATTCAATGTGGCCTTTTTCCTCTCACAAAAATTTATTTGTTCATTTCTCTATACAATATTTGAACTCACGGTTTTCTTGTCAATTATCATCCATAAATGGAAGATATCATCTGTTTAGAGATGTTCGAATCTCACACCAAAACAACAACAGTACCTCCACTCTGATTAAATCTCAGTCAATGATTACAACCCTTTTACATTAGCTAAGAAAATAGGTTGAAACATTGAATGAAACGTCGAAGCTTTCTACAGGATGTCATAATTGGCATTTATACATTTGCAGTTGCAGTGTGTGAGATGCAAATCAAAATCAAAATACCTGCGTCTGAATTGTAATGGCCATATTCCATAGGCTTCTTGCAGTCTTTGAATTCTTCCATTCTGGATTTAATCAATTTCTTATCCATAAAAGTGAAGAAAATTCAACTCTCTTTAATGTGTATTTGGTGCTTTCACATACTGTCATTCGGCACAAAAACCTGTCTTGGTCCGAATCTTATGGTTAAGACATGGGCCTATATAAAATCTTGCGAACCGAATCTAAAACTTGTGAGTTGATTTGAGCCACACCTAAATTCAGAGCCTTTTCCAAGTTACAACCTCTATGGTACCAGACAGTTGGACCCATATACAGTGAGTTAAAAGTTTGGGATTAATTTAGAACAAGCATCATAATCTGGGGATAAAATTAGAGTATTTAGAATTTTGAGGACCAATTTAAAATATTTATCATAATTAAGGATGTGTGACATAATTTAATCTTTTAAATATTTGTGGTCTTAAGGATAAGTTTGTGATTGAGTGTAGTCAAAGTTAAGCACCTGATGAGTAACGACTTCCTAGAACTTGAATCCGGCCAGTATAATTAGTGAATTGAGAAGTTAATCCATTAATAATTAGGACAGTAAATATATTGTACGGGTACTTGTAATTAATTGAATCGCATGCTAATATATGTAAAATTTGATCATCTATATTAATTTACTGATTAACAAACAAATCAACAAGAAAATTGGAAGAAATTAATAGCATTATGTAAACATAAAATAAGAAAAATAAATTATTACCAAATAGTAATTTTAGTATAACGTATCCGCCCTCCCCTAGTCGCTCTCTTTTTCTTTTTCTTTTACTTGAGTTTGTCTTTTTTTTATAAATCAAATCAATTTTTTATTATTATTATTTTTTGGATAAGTAGAAGTTTATTCATCTAAAAAGAAGCAGCAAGCTGCTACAAATGACATCAAAACAGCCTAGATTAATCCCCAAACTAGGCTCAACCTCCTATTAACATCATCCATCTTATTCATATGACATCTATACAATTTAATCCTAACAGACTCTCTAATGTTATTTACAATCGTATCAGCAGAACGAATCACACCACGAAAATGCTTGCGATTACGTTCTTCCCAAAGAAAATAAACAAAACCAGTCCACGCGAGCTTTAGAATATGAACAAGGAGGGATTTACCCTTCAAGTTTGAAGTCATCCAATGCATGGCATCATCCCAACATGTTAGCATCTGTAATTGGAGACCACAAGCATGCAGAATGGCTTTCCATATCACCCTTACAAAGGAACATTCCAAGAACAAGTGGTTTTGAGATTCTTGATCATCACCACACAATCCACATACATTAACAGTGACAATGCCAAACCTTGCTAACCTGTCTTTGGTTGGCAATCTATCGAGAATCACCATCCAAGCAATAATGGAGAATTTTGGGATATGAGATGGGAACCAAATAAGCCTATGCCACCCAACCTTATCCCTCCTATCACGAATATGATCCCAAATCCAGCCACCCTTGATCTGTGACCAAATAGAAACCGAAATGAACAATCTTCTAGCCTCCTCTCTAAGTTTAATCAGCTTGTTGAGGATCCAACTGAAATGGGGTTTTCTGTCAACATTCCAATAGTCCAAAGATTTGAAGCATGTTTATCTCTAATTTTATTTAACAAGCGACAACATCAATTTTAATGTTGATTGTCAACCGCCGGTTCTCATTTTTTTTTATTTTTTATTTTTTAATAAAAAAATTATTTGTAACACGTTTATCTCTGCCTTTATAGCATGTTTATCTCTGTATTTGTGATATGTTTATCTCTGTGTCTGTGGCATGTTTTTCATTTTTTCTTGGTCGTTTGATCGTTCTTTTATTTATGTTTTCTTAGGGTTAGATTTGACGATGTCACAACTGATCAAGATGACACTTATTTGAAATCTTGTTGATCTTCCCAACTATGGACCTTCAGATTGAATTTTGATGTGTGATTTTGCGTTCTAGTTTCTCACGACACTCAACTTTTATTTGTGATTCTCGATGGTCTTCGAATTGTTAACCGTCCAAAATGCTCCACATCCAACTACGATGGTCGGTCTTTGTTCACGTTTTCTATTTCAAAGGTTACTCCACATTTCTTCTCTATGTCCCTTCTTATGGCACACCATTTTCTTTGTAATTATGTAACCACCATTTCAAATTTTCACTGTCTGATTGACTCGAACTCGAAAACCTTTCAAATTTTCATATGTATGATAAAATTCAATGAAATCATATAAAGTCCTCCACTTTAGCATATTCATATCATTCTCACTGTAATCTTTTAATTCATTCCCAATCTTATCCCATATTTTTCGTCAATGAAGTTGTCAATTGTCTTCTCATTATCTATATGTTTGTCATCATCAATAGGATAATTAGTTTGTTCTTCTTTAGTATAAGTTTCACAATCTAATTCATTGTTGTATCCATATTTTTCCTGATTATGGTCATCTTCATCCTGATTATAATTGTCAAACTCTATAATTTGAATTTTGGTATCTTCATTATCAATTATCTCGAAAAAAATTTGTATTTTCAAAAAATAAACAAAAGCAACATTATTAAAATGGTGAATGACATGTAATTGCATTAATACAAAATTGTACAATTCAAGCGTACCGTACCGATACACTTTACTAGAGTATTAGTACACATATTTGAAATAAATAATAGTGTACAATTATTGTACCAGTACACAACCAATACTGATACTCGAATATCTGCGTACCGATACACATGAGCCAAGGTATCGGTGGGACATGTGGGATTCTTTACTAAATTATCAGTACACATATATGAAATAAATAACAATGTACAATTATTATACCGGTACACAACCAGTACCGATACTCGTATGCCCGCGTACCAATACATATAAGCCATGGTACCGATACGACCTATGGGATTCAAATTGGGAATTCGAAATTGGATTTGAAAAATATGGTTATATGGTTCAATTGTTCAAATTGATGTTCTAATGTGAGAATTATAGTACTCAATTAGGTAATTAATGTTCCATAATTGGACTAATTAGAAAATTAGGGTTATGGTTATGGTTAGGATTTGGGAATTAGGGGATTAGGGTAAGATGATGGGATGACGGTCGCCCCACACTGGCTGCAGTAGCCACTGGCGGTGAAGGCGTTAATCGTCGGTGAGGTTGCACCCACCAGTGACGGCTTGGATGGCTGCTCAAGTCTGAAACAAAATTTCAAAAATTAAAGCTTATATGATTGGATTGGTTGCGCAAACGACTACCACATCGATGGGATGAAAGATAAAGATTATCTCGTCGACGGATGATGTTACCGACAAAGATAGCGGGAGCTTCATAGTTATGAAAAAATTAGGGTCTTTTCACTTAGGGGTTAGAATTTGATTTAATTATTATTAAAATAAGATTATGAAAAATAATGTAATTAATATTGTATTTTAAATCATTTACGTTTAGATTTTTAACTAATTTATAATTATACGTTCAGTACTTATAATTTTAATGTTTTATAAATGAAATTAATGGTGTTCATCGATGCTCATCAAGCATGATAAATTTTCTTTATCTAATTTAACGATTAAATGTTTAGTTCTCTGTCAAAAGGATTAAGATTCAATTCCTTTATGGTATTTTAGTTAAAAGAAAGACCAACTTTATAATTACAAAGTAATCTAAGTTATTAATAAAAATATTTATTATAATTCATGATATCAAATTTAATTAAGATTTTAAAGAATAGAGTAGATAATAATAATTAATAAATTATTTATCTAAGGAAGCTTTTATAAAATATGATTGGTCCACGTAGCAGTACGATATGGTTTTTAGATTCAAAGAAAGGATTAAGAACCGGTCACAAGCAGAAAGAGGAGGGGTTTTAGTTACCGTCCATTGCCAGTAAATCATCTCGAATCCACCGGTCGATCCAGTTTTGTGGTCAAAGATAATATGGGTTTAAGCACTTTCTATTCCATTTATTTATTTATTTTCTTTGGTGGTTTTTCTTTTAAAGGGTTTTATCTTAAAATTTCTTTCACCTTCCAAACCACATTAACTAAAATAAAAATAAAAAAATGGATCTTGTTTCAAGGAATTTAAATTGAATTGGATTTGAATTTTTTTTTCTTTCCCCAATCTTTGTTTATCAGGAAATTTTCAGGGATTGTTATCAGGAAAATTTTCATTTTCTTTACATTCTTTTCGGTATATATGTATATTGCCATTTAAGAAACTGGAGATCATTTCAATTTGAAAGGTGATTTATTGGCTTGTCTCATTCTAATGCTCAAATTGTGTTTTACATCAGTGAATTTCGATTCTAACAGTGCTTCGAATCAAGATCTGATCTGTTTGTTAGTTTGGTTGGTAGTTATTAACCATGATTCATGGAAAATTTAGAACTTGGGGTCAATGAGGTTTATGGGATTTGGATTGAAAGATGCACTCCTTGTTAAGAGGAAAAAGAGAGAAAAAGAGAGAGAAGAGAATATGAATTCGACCCTTAGTGCTATAAGTTCTTGTTTGACTTTAAGAGTTTCAGGCAATTTAATCATACTTTTGGTAATTTACTTTTAACGATATTTTGAATTTGATCAAAATTAACGCAACTATGTTCTTCTCTTGATGCTCTGTTTTGGGTTTTTTCATCTGAATTTGATTGATTTATTTTTAAATTCCGGCCATTCGTTTTGTTTCTGGCTTTATGGATCAGCTAATCTAATCATTCATAGATAATGCAAAATTAATTTGATTACTTTTTTGTAAGTACGTAGCTTGTGTTGGTTATCTTTGTAATTTGTGCTGATATACGGTCCATTTCACTTTTTTTTGGATTGGCTTATATACAGAGAACTTGAATCTGGAGAGATTAATGGTTGATAAGTTGGATTATCATACATGCCTGAGATATGGTGTTTAAGAAGAGTTTAGATTATGGATTTAATGCCTTCGGTGTCTCGACTGTACCCCGTGCCCCTAGATCAATTCGGGTATGCCTTTTTTATATCATTATTTCTTGATCTTTTCTCTTGATTTTCTGCTAAATTTGACTTTGATTGTGTTGAATTTTGTTCTAAAACTTGATGAATAAAATGAAGGGTTTTTTTTTTGGTTTCAGAGGAGGGGTCAGAGTAAGAGGACAGTTGATGATAAACAAATTTCCGCTTTCGAATTGTTAGCTTCTTTAGCAGGGAAGTTATTGGAGGAGAGTGAAAGCTCTGCTGCAAGCAATGCATCCGAAGGACATGATCATGTTTCTATAGATAAAGATGTTGTTAAACAGGAAATTGAGTACGATGATAAACAGTTAAAAAGTGAATGTATAGAGCATGTAAGTTGCGAAGAGAGTGTTGTTGCCTCTGATTGGACTACTGAACACAGTGAGAACCTAAAGGAATTTAAACATTCTGAAAACAATGCCATGTTGGAGTGCACTTTGACAAAGATGCAGCCTGCTTACTCGGAGCAAATTAAGGGTAATTTAAATTCTGCAATTTGCAAACGAAATGTAGCATATGGGAAATTTCCTGGTGATTTAGATGGTTGCTCCACTAATTACAGGGAGTTGTGTGATGGTATATGTGACAATGGTGTTAAACAAGAGCAAGAGGCTAAGGTTTTGGAATCTGGGCCTTTTTCTATTGCTAAAAATTGCTCCAAAAAGGATCCATTAGAGGCGTTTATGAAGTTTCCTGCACCCGTCAATTCTGAAAGGGATGTCAAATTGCCATCACGTAGTGGTTCTCTTCCTACTGCTTCTTTTTCAAGGCATAGGAACGATATTAAGTTAGGTAGTGTAGATGATGATGAAAAAATTTCTAGGTTTAATAAACTTAGCAACAGGTTCAATGCTTCTAGGCCTCCAACATGCATCGAAGATCAAAGAATAAGGAAGTTGGTTACATCCAAATACTGGAAAGTGGCTCCAAAATTGAAGGATTTTGAACATTTCAGAGCTGGTGAGAGTTCCAATTTGTTTTAGAATTTTCATAGCATTCTTTGTATATTTTCCATTTGTAATTGAAGTTCATGTACCGTCTTCTTGCTGATTTTGTGTTTCTTATATTTTTAGATGGAGGAATAAAGCCTCTACATCGCAAACGGAAGACATACTATAATTATGACAAATGTCAATACGACACACTATATAAAAGGAGGAAGCTCCTTGACCATAGCTCAATAGTAACTTCTGATGGGGGGATTGGTAGCAAAAGTGTTCCTAATCCACCTGAGAAGGTTAAGAATGAAAGTAAGAGTATCTCAGTGGCAATGTCGCAAGGTGGTGCTTCCCTACTGAAATTTTATTATAATTTATAGATTCCCAGATTGAGATTTTAACTAGTCTGACTAAACCATTTTATTCTGCTGTGTAGCATGTGAGACACCCTCCTTGCTTACAGGTCACCAAGCATCCCACAACTGTACTGATTCTCATGGTATTATTCTTTTATGTGTTACCACAAAATACATATGGGTGAATTTTTTCTGATTTTGGGAAACTCTTACTCAAGGTTTGTTCTTTTGTACAGTAAAACTAAGCATCAAGTCCTTTAGGATTCCAGAACTTTATATTGAGGTGCCAGAATCTGCAACTGTCGGTTCACTAAAGGTATAGGAATTACATATTGTTATACATTTTCTCATTTAATTAATTCTCAGCTTCTAATATTAGTGGTGTACTTAAATGTGAGTAGAGGACTGTAATGGAGGCGGTGACTGCCTTACTCGGAGGTAGAATCTGTGTTGGGGTACTCTTTCAAGGGAAGAAAGTGAGAGATGACAGTAGAACTCTATCACAGTCTGGAATTTCCTCTGAAGATAATTTGGATGCTCTAGGTTTCACTTTGGAGCCTGGTCCTGCAATAGCCCCTCCACCTTTGCGCTCAGAGGAACCCCTTCTGTTGTTGCCATGTGGTGCTGCCCCTCAAAATTTAACTAGGTGATTTTATCATGTTTTGTGATTGGTTGTAAATGGTAATAAATCTTGGTTTGAATCTCTTTATGTCGCGTGTATGCATTATGAGTTACTTGTACCTTTTAATTGGTGCTTGGTTTCCAGCCCTTTATCCACTCCAGCCCTGGATACAAAGATTCCAGATGTCATAGCTGACCCACCATCACTTACTATTTCAGCGAAAGCTATGGATAGTAATTACAAACACACTTCCTCCCAAACTAACATACTAACTGATCATCTGCGATCGGAGTCTAGAGCTCTAGTTCCAGTTGCTGCAATGAATGTCGAGGCACTTTCTGTGGTCCCTGCGAACCGGAAAATACGAAAATCTGAGCTTGCACAGCGTCGAACCAGGAGGCCATTTTCTGTGTCAGAAGTAGAAGCGTTGGTACAGGCCGTTGAGGAGCTTGGTACTGGAAGGTATAATATCCTATGCTTCTATTTTTTTTTTTTTACTTTTCTCTTGCACCCTCTTTCTGTGGATTTGCTGAAGGGGACAAAAGATATGTTGTTTCCGTTGGCTCATTCATTGAATAGGATGCAGCATGCAAAGAAGTCTGAGAATCTAAAATCATTCTTCTCCCGGCATCTGCAGGTGGCGTGACGTTAAATTGCATGCATTTGAGAATGCTGACCATCGAACTTACGTGGATTTGAAGGTAGAAGTGTTCTCTTTTTAACTATTGTTATGAAGAGGAAATCGACGATGAACAAGAACTACAATGAACTATGACCTTGGAATTTATGTGGATTGGTTACCACTGATATTTGCATTAATCATATGAATCTTTTTAAATACTGTGTTTGCACAACTTGGATATATCGTCGGAGTTGGTCATATCGGCTGCCACTGTTGTTCCCAGGATAAATGGAAAACATTAGTTCACACTGCGAAAATATCGCCGCAGCAAAGACGGGGAGAGCCGGTACCGCAAGAACTGCTGGACCGGGTGATGGTTGCTCATGCATACTGGTCTCAGCATCAAGCTAAACAGCAAGGCAAACATCATGCTAGAACTTTGAGAATTACAAACTCTCAAGCTGATAGAAATGGAGTTGCGGTCGTCTCAATGTAAACAAGAAGAGAGGTAAAGAAAACATTGACCAAGAACAAAACATGTACGAAAGGTTCAGATTTTATGTAATATTTTCTCACACGGAAGTTGATTCTTTGCCAGCTTCTAATCATGAGCCATTGGCATGATGTAAATGATTGGACCAAACATGATGCTTTTTAACCTCATCCATAGTACGTTTTCTTCTTTATTCATTTGATTTTCATTTTGTAATTCATCGATAATAAAATTCAAATAAAGAAAATGAACAAACTGTTTTTCTTCGATTTACTTTATATAATATTTCACTTGCATTTATTATTATTATTATTATTTCCTCCTGTAATTGGGCAGCATTACTTTTATAAGTTGAGAATTATAAAATTAAAATTATTTTATCTTTTTCATGGATAAGTTCTAATCATAAAATATAAGTAAATTATAATTAAAGTTTAGGATATATTATACTATTTCTCACTGAATTTTACTCTTTCTCTTATTTTACTCACCGTACTTTTTTTTTATTATGCTCATTGAACTTTACAGATTGAATCATTTTGCTCACTCTGCCGTTAACTCTTTAACGGTGTTATGACTTGGCACAAGCATCGCATCAAAACGAGTTGTTTAAAAAAAAGTTAAATATACACCAAAACGACGTCGTTTCAAATCTTCTTCTTTCCCCCAATTTTTTTCCCTATTTTGTCGTCGGCCACCGCGTCATTTTTCTTTATGGCCATCATCTACCGTTATTGATGGTAGCTGTCCGGTCTCAAAATTTATGGGTTGGTTCGTCTCAGCCCCCTGAGTTCAAATCTGGTGGTTGTTTCACCGGAAAATATCCTAAAATTCGTGAATCTCGATTCAAATGTTTCGGCTTTCTCACTTTTAATCTCCAATTCATGGACTTCGAAGCAAGTTCCGATAAAATGAAGATCGAATTTGGACTCAAGGTGTCGAGGCGAAGCGACCCATAAAATTTGAGATCGAGCTTCCACCATGTACGGCGATCGACGATGGTCAGCGATGACGTTCGACCACCTTCTATTTTTATTTTATAGTTTGGTGAATAAAATAGGGGAGATAGTAAAGTTCCGTGAGGAACCGTGGAATTTACCCTTTATATTTTCAATTATTTCTATATTAAATAATAATAAATGACACACCATCACACCATTAGAGAAATAACAGTGGAGTGAGTAAAATGGTATAATTTATAAAGTTTAGTGAATAAAATAAAAACATAAAAAATACAGTGAATAAAATAGGAGAGAGAAGAAAATTCAGTGAATAATTGTATAATTTACCTAAAATTAAAATAAACAAAAACTTTATTTTAGTAACTTTTAAATTACGACAGATTTTCGCACCAAACCTATTTGGGGATAAGCAGGAGGAAACTTGTCTACATTGATGGTGATTAATTTATTATTTTTACATCATCGCATTGGGATCGATAATCGAATCTTCCTATAATATAGTGTGTTAAAAGTAATTTGTGATGATCCAATAGTGTGGATACAGAGTAGGTTGCTGTTCGCTGCACGTTGCACCATGTGATATTGTCACTGTGTGAATGATTGGTCCAAACACAGGCATACTCAGTTCTGTAAATGATTTTTTTATTAATTGTTTGGAAATCATTTATTTATATTTACTTATTAAATTAATTAAATGAGTATAAATAAAATTTTTAAACATAAATGAACGAATATAAATAAAGATGTATTTAGTTCGTTTATGTTCATAAATAAAATTATTTCTATGAAAATTCATTTAAGGGTAAAGTATAGTAATGGTCACTAATTTTTTTAAATCTTTCATTTAGGTCCCCTAACTTTTAAAACTTTTATTACAGTCCTCCAACATTTAATGATGTGTTGGCAAAAAATATTTAATGACATGTCAATTATTTCTTATTTAAAATTAGTTTATTAAGTATTTAATTTTTATATATGTGCCTACCTTAAAATTAATTTGTGCTAACCTAAATTTTTTTGTGTCCACCTTGAATTTATTTATGCCCAAAAGATAACTAAAATTGCCTATTATAAACATTATTTTAGTTTCGGTTTAAAAATCTATTCATTAAGCCCGAATCAAAATAAAACAAAAAAAATATATGTAGTTAAAACTCAAATCAATATTAAACACAAATTTAATATACAATCTAGATACAATACCCTTAACTCCAATAACAGCTACAATTGGTCAACCCAACCCCTATCCCCTCAAAATTCACTTTGCACCCAATACCAAAAAAGGACAAAAGCATTACTTATTCTCATATTTTAACGGATGATAAGAATAATCTATTAAAAAAATTGTAACATAACCTAAAAATCAGCAAAAAAAAATAGTCTACAAACCTGCAAAAAAATAGAGAAGAACTAACATAAGAAACTAAAATAAATAGAGCAAATTTAAAGGTAAGGTCAAACATTTATTGATATTTTCCAGTGACGACGAACATCTCTGACCATTAATTCGTACGGTGAGCAACTTTATGACAGCGAGTGGACAAAAATTCTCTGAGATCACATGAATCAAACGATGATGAGTAACTTTCCAAAAATCAAAATATTATATTTCAATTAATTAATATATATCGAACATAAATTTATAAATATCAAACATAATATTATATATATATATATATATATATATATATATATTAAATCAAAGAAATTTTTTATGCATATTAAATCAAAGAATTAAAATTTACAAATATTGAATCAACATATAATCAAATCACTAAATCAAATCTATATTGATAACATTAATTAATAAATACATTTTAAAAATTAAAATAATATATTTGAATCAATCAAAGGATTAAAATATATAAATACTTTTGAATAATTAATAAAAATATTAATATTACATATCACAACATATTTCTTAGTGAACCATGACATTCTTAGCCCCATCACCTTTAATCTTATTTTCTTATCGTGGAAATGTTTAAGGCTCCAACAACTTCAACTTTAGTAACCTTTTAGGCGAAACCTAAAATGTTAATAGTATTCATAACATTTACCGATTATAACTCATTTTCTTACCATGTATAACATTTTAGTGGAACCTGTTATGTTACTCCAACTGATAACTTTTCAGTTTTGATTTATAACATTTTGTACTCGTTTTTAATCAATTACCTTTTTTTACCGGTCACGCCATTTATTAACCTTATTTTAGGTGCCTCACAGCAGAACTTCCCATTATATGCAACTTGTTTTGTATGAGCAATCTCTAGCAAGTTTTGAATACATTACAGGTCGACATTGTTGCCTCATTCACCTAGGGAAGCAAGAGAATAAACTCAAGTTAAGATAAAGGGACTGGACCAGGATATACCCGTCAAGTCATATCGGATTTCTAACGAATACGAAAACAAAATCTTTATTGGCGTGCAGTTACATGCATCGATGGAGAAGAATTAATAATATCAAGTTAAAAGTAATTTGTACAAATTAATTAATATTTTAGTTATTTATTTTAAAATAAAAGATTTTCATTAAAAGATACCAATGTTGAAAATCCACTATATAAATATATAATTATCATTTACGAGATATATCTTGAGAATATTCTAAAATAATATATATATATATATATATATATTCATAAAATAATCTAGATATTTGTAATATTTGATACATCTTGAATTGTCTATAAAATATTCTCAACATTTATAAAATTAATAGCTAAAATGTTGGCATGTATCAACAATCCAATGAACACTAAAATCTATAAATATGAACAGGGGTAGAGGTAGGCCTGACCTACCTAGACCTTGTCCCCTCCTATGCCCAAAAGAATTTTTTATATACTTTCATATATTTAATTTTAATTTTATTTAATTAAAATTAAGTTAATTAAAGTCTTGTTTATTTTAAATTTAACTATGATTTTACCTCTTTAAAATCTTAAATTAAGAGTTGTTTACTTCTAATTTATATGATATGATGCTATCTTTCTCGTATTTATTTATTTATTTTTACTATGTGCTTTTTAAATTCAAAGAATTCTTTTAAAAGCATGAACGTAATAGAATATCTTTACTGAGATTTTGAGTTTTTTTTATTATCTTTTTCTACAATTTTTTGAATTTTTTGTTTTATTTATATTATGTTCTTTATTTACTTATGAACTTGTGATTTTATTAGTTGCTTGTTTAGAAAATTTTCAATATTACCTACAAGATTATAATAAAAATTTAAAATATATTTCTCATATCGTATTTTATTCAATTAAAATATGAAAATATTATATTTTGAACTATGTATTTTTTACATAAATTTTAAAGTTTTTTTAGAACTTTTAGTTATACTAGTTTTAATTGTAATTAAATTTTTAAATCGAAAGATTATATATGTAATTGGCCCAGTCAATAATATTTTTTTGGATTCACCACTGAATATGAGATGAGATTTATTATTATTACTAGAGTAGTGAAGAGTATATATACACCCTAAAATTTTGATTGTGTATGTCCTTTGATTAATATATATGTGTTCACCTTGAAAAATATTTCTAGATCTGCCACTAATACAAATCCAAAATGTTAATTAATAAAATTTCCATGAAGCTTACTTTAATTTATAGATACTAAAATATAAATCTTCAACGTATTACACATGAAAACCTTTCAAATTAAATATCCATACAACTTATTCAAGTTGTGAATTTAATATCTTGAAACCGTGCATGTGAAATAAGTAGTGGTTCATATTACATACATTGTTTATATTATGGTGTATAACTTTGACTAGTCTCAGATCAAGGCTCACAGAATTGTTTATATTATATTTACAAGCATCATAAAGATAAACATCTTCCTTAAGATTCTGCCCCATAAAATGAAGTTGTTTAATTTAGCATTTTACTCAAACCACAATTCCCAATTTTTTTCTCCAAAGTAATCATTTTCTTTTGAGATTTATCATTCTTTTTAAAAATAAAACCAGGCAGCATAATTAAGAAGGGCATGCCAAAAACACTACCTTAGAAACAAATACAGTAGTGAACTGCATGTCTAATCAATCATCCTCAAATAATATCCCTTAATTTTGTTGTTTAATTTTATATATAATCAAGTGTGATATAAATAAAGCACATTTTATAAGCATTAAAGTAAGTACATGAGAATTTATTGAGCAAAGAAAAGTCAATAGTCCCTTAGAACTATTATTTCGTTGCTTGAATGTGAAGCTAAGGACCTGAGAATTTATCGAGTGATTGTTGATAAAGAGGAGTAATGTTTTTTTAGACGTTATATGTTTAAGTAGCTGTTTCATAGGATATAAACATGGTTAATAACTAAGATTATATTTAAACGAATATTATAATTTAATCATCTCAGATTAAGAAACAACATAAAAATTCCAATTAAACTTTGAATAGCATTAGTGCACTTTTTTTTATTCGTTAACTAAGTACATAAAAGATCTTTATAATAATTTTATGTTATTCATGTACTCATATGGTACATGGTATTGTGAAATGGATGATCCTATCTCTGTTTATGCCATGCATGCATATAACATAATACATTGTATATTGAGAAGTTTATCATGCTTACATATTTATGATCAAGAGTACCCAAGAAGAATAACTAATTCCTCAAGAACTAGTATTACCGAACATATTATTTGTTTATTCTTTTACCACAAAAGGTTAAGAGCATCAAAAGAAACACAAAACTCATAAACAAACAAATGACAAAATGACCTAAGCTATTCTGCACTCGACCTTTTTCACCTTTTATCTTTTCTCTACAATAAATACTCATATTTTCTTTTTCAACCTTGATATTTACAATAGCTCACTGAGATTTGCACTCAATTCCCTCCTTTTATCCCACTCTTTCTTACTAATAATTTTTTATTTAATAGTATATGTAAATGTAATCAATATATTATTATAAATATTTGGACTACATTTAAGAGCTTAATATAATATTTTTTGGATAATTAATATAATATTTTTTATATAGTAAGAAATATATAAATTGGTGGGCCTCTGGACGCAAAGAATCCAAGATGATACCCAATGCTACGCCCATCTCCTTTTTTATTTTCATCCTCTTTCAACTTTATTATAAATGCTCACTCTTCTCTCAGTGTCTCGCCAACAAAACACAAGGGAAAAAAACTCTTCCTTTTAACTCTTTATTACTCCAGGAATTCACTCAACTGTTCAGCTTCCAAAAGGGTACTAAGAAAATCCAGAAAAAAGAGAGGCCGGACCATTGATCATCTTTAAGAGCTCACCTGGTTTTCTAGAAATGGCTTCTTCAAATCTGTCAACATGTTCAAGTGCACCACCAAGTTTCTACTTTGACGAGAAATGGAAGTTGTCGAAGAAAGAAAGTTCATCGACTTCAAGAAGCCCTCCTTCATCTTCTTCTTCTTTCGTCATCAAGAATTCATCTGCTTCTTCGAATAAAAGATGTGTTTTTACGAGAAAATGCGCCAGACTAGTGAAGGAACAAAGGGCTCGTTTTTACATCATGAGGCGTTGCGTTACCATGCTTATTTGCTGGCGTGATTAAACTGATTCTTGAAAGCATAAAACTGGCCTCCTTTGGCTCTTCTTTGAGATGTTTTTTTTTTCGCCATTTTTTTCTGGGTTGATTAGCTAGCTTTAGCAGCTGTGTTTTGGTTCATCAATGGCATCCAAGCACGCAGGCAAGAAGTAGTAGATATCAAGTTACATATATAATTGTATATAAAGAGGGTTTTCTTTTCTTTTTCTATTTGTAAGAGGATTTGAATCTCCATAAAAGGAGTATGGGTTCTTAAATCGACTGTTACTTTCATTGAGATTAATGTAAGGTAGAGGAAAGCACAGTATAGGTTTCTCCATTTATTTCTGTTTTACTTTTCTGGGTTTTGTGATTGTAGATGAGATCTAATTTCATATTCAAGCCTTGTTCTGCTTCGGATCTCGGTGTTGTTTGCTGCATACACAGACTATTATTTTTCAATTATATATAATTTTTTAAGGAGTGTGCAATGTTAGTGACATTTGAACGTGATGGGGCAGCTAAAATGCTATTTTCCCTCGACTTTTGAACCTTATATTCTAAAAAATAGTAATTAATCCACAGGTTTCATATCAAGTAAATTATTATTTCAAGAGGTATTGTAAAATTAGCAGTAAATTATTTTTCTTTCTTATTGTCTGCATGTATGTTTTATTAAGTTGTTCCATTTTATATGCACGGTTTAGATGTAAGAAATTTTAAATAATTTTTAAGTAAATTATTATTATTATTATTATTATATGTCTGAAGGTGTAAATTTGAACCGTAATTAATCATATAACATTTTTTTATCTGAGATGAGAGAAATTTAGATAACCATACTAAAAATATTTTAAATAGTTGGATTTGTAAGAAGAAAACAAGTAAATATTTTGTTTGAAGAATTAAAAAAAGAAGGAATTTGAGGTGAAATTAAACGGGCACAATTTTCTATGTATCCGTCGAAAGGAATCTAAATGTTCACATTATCTCGCAACTTTGAGCTTTGACCGGTCATTGGACCACCTCGATCTCTTATCCTCAAGAGGGACATATTAGTAAGTTAAAATTATTTATTTTTAGGGTAAATAATAAATTTAGTATCTAATGTATCTTTTTGTTCTGTTATGACACTTCAATTTTATTTTCTTTCAAAACTACGCCTAACGTTTGACTTATATTTTATTTCAGTACTTCTTTAGTTAAAAACTTAATGGAACTGCCGTACTTGATTTTTTTTTAATAGATAAATTATATCATTCATCACTCAATTATCTTTTCACTCTTATTTTAGTCATCGAAGTTTTTTTTTTTAATTAATCACTTAACTTTCAAATTACTCATATTTTATCATTCTAACTTATATTATTATTAATATTTTCTATGACATTATTATTTATTAATATATGATTAAAATAAAAAGAAAAGAGATAATGTCAATGATGGTGGGTGACAAAAAAAAAGGACAAATTGGAGAGGATGCAGTGAGTGTTTTGTGATTTAAGATTTGTGGAATATTTTTGGTTATATATATAGTTTTAAATTTATTTTTTTATTTTAATTATATATTAACAAAATAATAATAAAAAGTTTAATGTCATAAAATATTAATAAAATAAATCAAAGTGATTAAAACATGAGTAATTAACATTCTCTTTCTACGTTTGGGAATGAAAAGTTGGGTTACGGAACCACATTTCTTGCTTAATTTCAAAAGCTCTTGATCCAATGTCACTTGGCTTTGCTGATAGAAACTTAGTGCCGTCATTTGTTCCCTTGCATTGATTTGTTTTATTTCTCCTCGTAAATTTAGGTCCCTTTCCCCCTTATCTTTTCGTTTCTTGCTGTCATATTTCCCCCATGGCATGCGTTTTATAGGCAATCAATGAAACATCACTCAAATAATTAGGTCAAGATTTGAACGTCAAATGATTGATTTTGAGCTTGGCGTGCCACATGGGACCCTAAGAATATAACAACAAAATCATCAAGTAAGAGAGAAATTGGAGGCACATTTCTTAACTTTTTATTTTATAGGGAGGGCTAGGCCTCAATAGGTCAAGTGGGGGAAAGGAAGATATCGGTCACCCTACAAATCTTAAATAAGATCATTAGTATCCTTGATTGACATTTATATGAAGATTCCTTTTATTATTACACTTTGGATAACAATGACAAATCAATCCTGCTTTTTGTTGTCTATCGACGGGTTTATCAATTGTAATTTGACCCAAACTCATATCCACTTCCACTAAAATGGCTATAAATCTTGCTTTTTGTGTAGGTAATTGATTATGGAATCTTAGCTTCTGACCACAACGTACATAAAACTACTAAAATATTCAGCATCAATGTAGTTTTATTTGGTTAAAAAGATTACGAAAATATATTTTTATATTATAATGACCCATTCTATTTATAATTAAACAAATGTATTTGTATTTATAATTTTTACATATCGTATTCAACTATTGATCCATTATAATTTAGTGATTTCTAAAATAACTTATCAACTCTATTTGAAAAGAATAAAAATAATCTAGTAATGAACATGGTAATTCATTATACATTCTTAGCTTCTGACCACAACGTACATAAAACTACTAAAATATTCAGCATCAATGTAGTTTTATTTGGTTAAAAAGATTACGAAAATATATTTTTATATTATAATGACCCATTCTATTTATAATTAAACAAATGTATTTGTATTTATAATTTTTACATATCGTATTCAACTATTGATCCATTATAATTTAGTGATTTCTAAAATAACTTATCAACTCTATTTGAAAAGAATAAAAATAATCTAGTAATGAACATGGTAATTCATTATACATGTACTGCTTTTTGTACATTAAAACTATTTTCCATACTTTTTGACAGACAAAATATTGAAGAATAAAAGGAGGATAAAATTTGGTGATGGGGTGGTCCATGGTTTAAGGAAAGCTGCCATTGTATCCTATTATGAATCACTATCATTTAGAAGGATCAATAGATTTGGGTCCAAACCCTAAAACTTGAAAGTGCTAAACCAAACAAGGTGTTAACAAAAGTAAAACTATCACGGAGACTTTTGTGGGCCTAGCCCTAAACCCTGAGAACTTCCCTCGTTTGGGGCCGAAAGCTCTAGGAAATGGCACAAACCTTTTAGGGGGCGTTTGGACGGGGGAATGTGGGATTTTCCCGGGAATGGAATCCACATTCCCTCGTTTAGTTTGGCCGGGAATGTCATTCCCGGTAATGTTTTATTACCAATAGTGGATTTTTTGGGGTATATTACCGGGAATGTCATTACCACCATTCCCTTAGGTATTGTAACATTACCGGCGTTTTGGACTAAAATGCCCTTAATTTTTTATTTTATTTTCAAAAATATCATTCTTCTGTCAGTGAATAATAAAAATTATACGAAGGTTAAATTACAAATTTATCCTTAAATTATTTCAGATTTACAAAAAACAAATTATAATTAAAATTTTATATTAAGTTCATGGGTTAAAATAAAATTTTAACCTTTCATTAAACCTTTTTTATATTTTTAATTTTGTAAAAAAATATATATAAATATTATGAATTTAATTTTTTAAAGAAAATATATAAATATTTTACAACGTGTAATATTATACAAATATATATATATATATAATAAGGACAATTTGGTCAAATATACATTCCAATATTCTTTTATTCCTTTAACCAAACACGGTAATCTTACATTCCTGCTAAACCAACCAAACATAAAATACAACATTCTCGGTAATCCTATTCCGTGGTAATCTTTTATTCCCACTGATAATCTTACGTTCCGTGAACCAAACGCACCCTTAAAGCATTAGGGCATTTACGGAAAAGATTAATATTATATAATAATTTATTATTAATAGCAGTGATTTTTAGTTTAAATGGTAAAAGTTTTACTACTTTCAAACTTTTAGGTGTTACACAATTGTCGTCATTTTGAACAAAAATATCCTTGAAATGATAATTTTTTATATGGGTCATTCTCGATTTTTATTCTTTTTATTCAAAATTATAAATATAATAATAATATCTTATAAAGAGTTTAATTTAGTAAAATATTAATAAACTTAAGTAGTCAAAAATATTTCATAATTTTAATATTTAATATATTATTCATTTATAATTTTATGAGGTAAAAAATAAAATTATTGTAAAAAGTAAAATTATTTAAAATAATATCTAAATTTGAGTTATTAAAAATAAATCTTATAAATTGAAAAAATATTTTTCTCCACTTGAGACCAACAACATTATTTTTTTCGTATTATGTTATATTTTATATAAATAAATATGATATTTATAAAAATTATTTAAAAATATAATTTTAATTTACTAATTATATTAATTACATGTTAAATATATTTTTCTCAAAAGTTATATATAATTTACTAAGATATACATCCAAATAATCTTATATTCTTGCTAAACATACTAATCAAAATAATACAATATTTCTAAGGTAATACAACATTCTAATAATCTTATTTCTAGATGTAATCTTATATTCTAAAGATAATATTATATTATGTGAACCAAACCACGTTTGGTCACGATACACCCCTCAAATTGCAAGTATTCCCGCTTGGCACCTCCTAATTATGCACCTTTCGAGTGGCATCCAAACCTGCTCAATATTTGGGTTTTTTTTGTCAATAGGGCAAACAATTTTATTAATTAGTAAAATAGGACATATTAAAATTTATTTTGGGATCTACGATATTTGTTACAATATTTAAGGAATTCGTCATGTCGAGATGATGAGTTTCGATGAAAATTATATTTTATTCGAATGATTAATATTTAATTTTTTTTGAAACTCATCACCTTAGTATGACAAGTTTCATTAAATAAAATTATTATTTTTTAATTTAGAGTGTTTTTATCAAAAATAAAAAAAATATGAAACTTGTCATGTCGATGTGACAAGTTCCTTTGGGTTTAAAATAAGTAGTTTTTTATAGTCGTTGGCCATATCATTTTGAAGAAAAAAAATCATTATAAATAGTAGTGGAGTGAGTTGATGGATTCTATATGAGAATGAAATCATACATTTGTAGGAAGAATATTACGAAAAAATTTCGAATGGTCTATTTGGGTATGATTACGCAAAAATAGATGATTCGGATTCGAGCTCGTCTTCAGATGAGAAGTGAATAAATGAGGCAATGAAGTCGATACTTTATCAAGATAAGGAGATAAGGAAACTTGAAGAAGAGAATAAGGAGATGAAAATTGAGGAGAAGAATGAGAAGATGAAGTATCAAGATTTACC